GTGCTGAATGTGCTGTCTCTTATCAACCTTCAATGCGTTTTTAAGACAAACAACTCACTACCTCAACCAAAATTGAGTAGCTTTAAAAGAGACTGGCAATCTTATGGCAAAAAACAAAATCACCATCGCCTTAAATCACCGATCAACAGTCTGTATGTTCACCTGCCATCTCTAATCACATGCGTAATGCTAGTGCTGCTGCCCGTGGTGAATGAACAAGCCACCTGCACGCACACCACAGCCACAGCAAGCAACACGCATTCACTCTTCCCAGTGAACTTCAGTCTTTATAAGTTTGGCTTTGGTTACTACACCATATTCTCCAGTGTACTTGACAACGGCCTGGCACGAATCTGCACATCGAGACTGTAAACCACCCGACACACAACTCGGATTAAAAAACGCAACTGGATATATACAGCCACAGTGTACTCTTTGCTGATACTGCTAGCGGGTGACATTCAACTAAACCCAGGCCCCGTTGAAATCCGGCAAGGAATCCCAGGACTCACCTGTGCGGAGACGGGGACCGGCGCACAGACAGGGGTGCGCGCTGCGGCGGGGGACCTGGTTGCTAGGGGAGACATCGGCTACATTGAGGCAAGTGTGACTGGTGTTGCACCAGGAACTCCAGCCTTCCAGTCGGACTTGGACTATGTCGGTGCCGGTGTGGTGGTGCTGGCGGCGGAGGACGTGGGGCGAGGGAACTCCGGTGGGTCGCTGCTTAGGGAACTCAGCGGGGGCCGGGCAATGCGTGCAACTGGCAGTGCAGAGTCACCTGGAGCGACCCGTGGATCTCGTAACGGCGGAGGTAACAAACTGAACTCAAAATCACAGCTCTCTGTGTTAAATACCCTGAAGAACTGCACCAAGTCGAAACCCAAACAAAATCCCGTTTTTAAACTGTAAATCATGTGCAAGTCATATGGGACCCCAAAGTTAAACCCAGGGGAATACCTGGGGGGCATCTAAATATTAGAAGTCTCCTCCCAAAATGTGACGAAATCAAAGCACTACTGTTGGACTCAAATCTGGATTTTTTATGCCTGAGTGAAAGCTGGCTACACAGCAAGGTTTTAACTACTATTGTCGACATGCCCGGGTATACGTGTTTTAGAAAAGACAGGAACAATGGTAGAGGAGGCGGAATGATTATTTACATTAGGGATTCATTTAAGTGCACTCAGATTGAGTTTGAATATGATGTTTCTATTGAATGTCTAGGATTAAATGTATTTTTATCCCCAGAGATGCATTTCCGCATTTTGGTTTTATACAACCCTCCCGCATGTGACACAGGTTTTTATGATAAGTTGGAAAAATTGCTTAAAGCCATTTCCCATAAGACAGAAGTGATGATATTCGGCGACTTCAATATAAATTGGGCAGATAAGAAAACTAAGAAGAAACTTAAGTATTCAATGTCTAAATTTGATTTCAGTCAGAAAATTAAAGGGCCAACTCGAATCACAAGATCCACCCAGACCCAAATTGATCTGATGTTTTCTAACCGAGAAGAACGTATAGTGAAGACGTACAATCTCATAACAGGATTGTCGGATCACAATATGATTCTGGCAGCGAGGAAATTTACAAAGAAATGATTTGCCAATTATAATTTGCCGAAATCAGATGAACTTATTATACCAAAACAGGATCTATCAAGTCTAGGAAATGAACTTAATGAGGTGACATGAGGCCCGTTTCCACTGAAGAAGTTCCTGGTACTATTTAAGGGGCAGGAACTACTACAGGAACGTCCTCTCTCTTGGCCCTCTCAACCGCCGTGTCTCCACTGAGAGAGCGGAGTAGGAGGAGGTTCCTGTAAAGTTACGGGCTCTGGATGTGACGTAATCGTTGTGCGACCATTTTGACCGGGGCGATGTAGGGACGCCGTTAGCCGATAGCTGTGTTTGTAATAACTCACAAAGTGGCCCGTGAAAAAAATATTTTTTCCAGTGGATGTCTTAGTTACAACATGATTGAGCTAACTGGAGTAGTTTCATGTCGTATCCGACAACAGGAGGCTTTTAACAGATGACGTCCTGATGTTAGCTTTGCTGCTGCTGTTAGCTCTCGTCGTCCCTGTCCGCTGATGCTTTCTAGACATCGTGATTTCCCAAAACTGAATAAATACCACACATAGCAACACAAAACTGCTTTGCTAGCTCAATCATGTTGTAACTAAGATATCCGCTGGAAAAGATATTTTTTTCACGGACCGTTTAGTGAGTTTTTTTTATGTGGCGGTGGAAGCTATATGAACAAGCTAACCCTCGTCTGCTGAGTTTTAAAAATGCTGGCTATTTTGTTGCTTTCTGTTGTTGTCACATCCTGCCTTGAGTATATCCAATCAGCACCAAGTACTCCCCAAGCGCCAGCCAGGAGTCTTTCGGGGCCGTTCTGAGTACCTACTCCGAGGCAGGGACTTGTTTATCCCCCGTAAAAGTTCTGGAACTCTGTCCTTCGGGGGTGGTTCCTGCGGTGGAGACACGCACCATCGGCCCCAGCCCCGTAAAATTACCCCGAAGTTCCTGTGGTGGAAACGGGCCTATGGAATAATGTTCTGCAAAGCAACGATCCGAATGGATGTTGTAATGAATTGATGACTGTTATTGAAAAAATTACTTCTTTTTTTAAGTTCCTTAAAAAATCCAAAAACTCAAATAGGAAGAAATCCCTTCCATGGGTAAATGCGTCGATTAGACAATTAATGAAACAAAGAGATTTCGCACTGAAGGCCTTCTTAAAGAGCCGAACAAATACTGCCGTGATCCTATACAAAGTGCTTTGAAACCGAGTAACCAAAGAACTGTGTACAACAAAAGCCATATATTACACTACTTTGATAACATAAGCAAAAGGAAACAATTCATTAATCTGGAAAGAAATAAAATATCTAATACACTCACAGGAGAATATTAAAAAAATGTTACAAAGCTCAAAGTTGGAAACCAAATTATCTCGGATAGTGGACAAATTGCACAAGCATTTAATGATTATTTTATCGGGTCAGTGGAGGAACTGACCATTAACTTTGAACAAACTAGCTTGTGTATTGATACCACTACAAACAGAAAGAAAGGCTGTATGTTTGAACTGCAGGCAACCACTAAAACACAGGTCACTGAAATAATTAATACATTCAAAAATACACATTCAAAAGACCTTTTTAATCTGGACATAGCATTTTTGAAAGGACACTGTGATGCACTGGCTGAACCATTAACTCACTTGATCAACACCTCCATGGCTAGTGGAAAGTTCACAGAAATGTGGAAACAAGCAAGAGTAGCGCCTATTTTTAAATCTGGAGCAGCTGATCAAGTGAGTAATTTTCAGCCAATCAGCATCCTTCCTGCTTTTTCTAAGGTGCTGGAAAAGGCTGTGGCAAAGCAACTGATGAACTACTTGGAAACTCATAATTATCTGCACCCATTACAATTTGGTTTTAGACCAAAATTTTCCACAGAGAGTGCAAACTGCTACCTACTGGAAAAAATCAAATCACATATAGACAAAGGGAACTTGGTGGGGGCAGTCGTCCTTGATCTAAGGAAGGCTTTCGATACCGTAAATCATAACATTCTTATCTCCAATCTCTTAAGCCTTCTTCTCACTAAGACCAGGCGTAAATCTTATGCCTAGTCAAGAGCAGGCGTAAGGTCAAAATCTAAGCCATTTCTATGGTAACACAGCTTCATTTCACCATGGCGCGTCTTATACATCGCCTTTACAACGAGCTGGCTTTTAGACGGGAGAGAGTTATTAGGGACAGGAGCAATCTATTGGAGATCTACAGTGATGAGGAGCTGATTGAGAGGTTTCGTTTCTGTAGGAGAGATCTGTTGGAACTGATTGAAGAGCTGTCACCGACTTGGAGTATGTGTCGGATCACAATGCAGCGCTCTCACCCACTTTGCAGCTACTTATTGCACTTCGGTTTTATGCAAACGGTGCATTTCAAAACATAGTTGGAGACATGATCCGCGTCCACAAATCCACCGCCTGTCGGGCCATCCGCAGGGTGTCACTGGCACTGAGCCACCGTCTCGCCCAGTACGCCCACCTCCCCACTGAAGCAGAGATGGCGGTGATAAAGCAGCAGTTCCGCCAGGCCTCCAGCATTCCTGGCATTGTGGGCTGCATCAATGGGACTCATGTCCGGATCCAGGCACCATCTGAGCATGAGTATCTGTATGTCAACCGCAAGGGATACCATTCAATCAATGTACAGGTTGCTTGTGACNACTTGGAGTATGTGTCGGATCACAATGCAGCGCTCTCACCCACTTTGCAGCTACTTATTGCACTTCGGTTTTATGCAAACGGTGCATTTCAAAACATAGTTGGAGACATGATCCGCGTCCACAAATCCACCGCCTGTCGGGCCATCCGCAGGGTGTCACTGGCACTGAGCCACCGTCTCGCCCAGTACGCCCACCTCCCCACTGAAGCAGAGATGGCGGTGATAAAGCAGCAGTTCCGCCAGGCCTCCAGCATTCCTGGCATTGTGGGCTGCATCAATGGGACTCATGTCCGGATCCAGGCACCATCTGAGCATGAGTATCTGTATGTCAACCGCAAGGGATACCATTCAATCAATGTACAGGTTGCTTGTGACGCCCGTTATTACATCTTTAATTTGGTGGCAAGATGGCCTGGATCCACCCACGACACACGCATCCTGCGGGAGAGTGCATTGTATCAGGAGTTTGAGGCTGGAAGGGTGACGGGGCTGCTGCTGGGTGACAGTGGCTACCCACTGAAACGCTGGCTGATGACACCAATGGTTGCACCGAGGACTCAGCAAGAGCGCCAGTATAACACCATCCACGCCGCCACTAGATCAGTTGTTGAGCAATGCATTGGAGTCCTCAAGCGCAGGTAAGCTACATTCTCTGCACATCTTATTAAAAAAATTCCCCAAAAATAGCCTACTATCAGCCTATTGCTTCCATTACTCCCACTTCACTAGCAAGGACCACACCACAACGATATGCAGTTTAAAGATTTAATGAAGATGTATGGTCAGAGAAATGGTTATGAATGAGGTGGTGATGAATAGGTGAGTGCATATTTGCAGATGAATGAATGGGATGGAGATGACGTCATCGGAGGGGGAGTGCAGGTTTGCAGATGAATGAACGGGATGGGGATGACGTCATCGGAGGGGGAGTGCAGATTGCGGATGGGTGGAGATGACGTCATCGGAGGGGGAGTGCAGATGAACGGGATGGAGATGACGTCATCGGAGGGGAGTGCAGATTGCAGATGGATGGAGATGACATCATTGGAGGGTCGGACTGGGTGAGGTGTAGATGTGGGCGGTGAGACTCAGTGTGGGGGTTCCGTCTCGAGTTCTGATGAGCCCGTGCTGTTAGGAAGCCCCCAAAAGAGTCTGATTAAGTGAGGCTTAGTCTGTCGTGTGCTAAACGGAGATCATTGAGGTTATTGTGGATGTAGGTTTGATAGGCTTGTGAAGACCAGCGGCCGAGGACCTGAATGACTTGGTCTGAAATACCTGATCTGGCGGCTGAGGAGGCGGCGCCGATGCGGAATGAATGGCACTGGTCAGTGGCTCGTGCGGGCTGAGAAAGGAGTTGAGGCGGAAGATGTAGATGGGAAAGGTTACTCCTAACTGATCAGTTTTACTCCTGTGGAGCATGAATATGAGCGAGTCTGAAGTGTGGGTGGTGATGTCGGATAGACTGGGATGACGGGAAGGATCGTAGACAGATGATGTTGGAGCGAATTCAGAGCACCTCAGGAATCCGAAGAAAGCGAGTAGAAACATTGATTCCAGTGTTAAGTCGACTGTGGGAGAGATGTAACCGGAGCGCAGAGTGCGTATGCAGCAGCTGAGCAGATCGGAGGTGAGAGGGAGGCGTCTGGCTGTCAGCGCTGGTTCGTGCTTTCGTAAGCCTTTGATTAGCATGGTGACGTGAGCGTGCGAGA